ACTCATTTAAAAAATTAAGTTCGAGTTAAACTTGAGTAGCTCAATTCGATTATCGGCTCAAATTGAATGTATTGAAAGACCAATTCATCTCAACTCAAATTATAAAATATTCAATCATATGTCAATTCTAGTATTGTCTATCTTCAATATTTCAAACCCAAGTTACATGAATCCATTTCAATTCTGATTAATCGTCCAAAATTCAGTTATTGCTTAAATTTAAATTATATTAAAAAAAATTCCCTCCCTTAAATTGAAAAATATTTCGATATAGATGGTTATTTTTGATTAAACCAAAAAAAAAAATTAATCGATGTACACATAACGTGATTCGAATACTTTGAATTGTTGAAAATGAAATTTGAAAAGTCTAAATATATTGTTTCATGTCAATCAAGGTTGCTTTTCTGAAGGGGTGTTTCCTTTTTGAATAATGTTAAACAGTTCTTGGGTGACAGCTCTTCATATTCTTTTTTTTTTTTAATAGAAACATAGAAAAGTATCGAAGTTTCTTGTACATTTATGTATAATAATAAAGAACCATAAAAAAAAAAAAAAAAAAAAGTGTAGGCTATCATGACTTGTGGCCCCACGAGCGATTTAACTTTTTTTCTGATCTGTGGGTTAGGTGTGTATTAAAAAACGTATGATTGGTCTTAGTTGATAATTATATTCCAAATATCATCATGCTTGCACAACTGGAAAGTCTAGTATTACAATGGATTGATTAATTAATTTAATTAAACAATGATTAGTGACTGATAAAATTCAAACGTATAACCCTCTTATTGTCGGAAAAGAACATCATGAAGACCTTTTTTTTTTTTTAATTATTCTGTAAACTATATGTTTAATTGTGCCATTCACTTACGTGTGTCAATCACCAATTAGGTTTTATTACGGTGAATGGGACATTGTGAGAACATGATACCAATCAATCACCAATTAAATTTTAACAACAATTTTTTTATTTGTAGTGTTTGTCGGTAACATTTACTTTTGATTAGTGATGTAGACACTAATGGATTTTGTACCACTAAGGTTCCTTCGGCAAAAGGGATAAAAAATAGAAAAGAAGGAAAATTAGAAAGGATAAATTTTTTATCTCCCAAGACAAGAAAGGTATGTTTTTTTACCTTTTGTTTGGGATGAAAGATAGAAAAATAAGAGGGATAATTTTTTAATTATTTTATATAGAAGATAAATTTATAATATAAAATAAAATAGATTTCAATAAGTTGATTCGACGGTCTCAAATAAACTCATCTAATGGCTACCATCATCTCTTACAAAATCATTCACATTACACCGTACTTTCATACAACATTTATCCCTAATAAATAAATAAAATGACCATAATTGCTCTTCAGAGAATTTAAGGTAAAAAACAAATGACTTTAATGTGGACCCACTAATTTGGTCAACTTGTGCATATAAAAAGACAAAATAAGTGGACCACACGCTTATTTCTTCCCCCCCCCTAATTTGTGTTTTTAAAATCTGTCCTTTTTAAGGCTAAAATGATAATTTGAAATGACTTTTCGAAGCAGCTGCCTCCTTCGGTCCACTTTCCTCCCATTTATGGAGTGACTAAAACGTTTTTCATCCATTTTTTTCTTTCTTCTCAATTTTTTTTTCATACCAAATAAAAAAAAATGTGATTTTCTATTCCATTTTTCATCCACCCACTTTTTCCACCAAACCAAATAGACCATAGGAAAACCATAATAAATAATTTTTTTATAAAATTATTTTTGCGTAGGTAAATAAAAATAATATTTTTTGTAATATTTTTGTGTTTAATACTTAATGATCGAGGTTTGAACACGTGTTTGGCACGTGGAGCTCGGTAACTCGGCATAATCTTCCTTCTCCACAACTTAACTAGTTCAATTCAACTAATACTTTCAATTGGACAAAGAGTCTACCTCCACTCTACTGTTAAATATCCAAGATCTATTCCAATTCTCAAGTAAGGTATAAACTTCTCTAACGGACCATCACAACTTATAAGAAGGGAGGAATGGAGATTATCAAGGTAAGGAATTCAAGCTCAACCTTAAATTATATTTCCCTCATTTACCCGGAACTCTTCCGGTATTCGACTTGCTATTGCACCTCTTGATCGGTCAACAACGTGTGATTCAAGTTAACATATCTTTCGGATTTCAGTGGTCAGTTTCTGGCATCATCAATGTCAAATTTTGAATTTTTTATTTTTCCCGAAAGCAATGGCAATATATAGCAACTCCCCACAAAAGAAAGCAAAGACATTTGTGTTGTGAGTGGCGTCCCAATAAATAGCAAATGGAGCTTTCAGAACAGCTTCCAAATGGAAAATTAGGTTCCATGGACTTTGACTAATGACAAGGCATTTTCACTTCCTATCAACTACAAACGGCACATTTGGGCTACTCTTCCTCTCCATGGTTTTAGATGAAGAATAAATTTTTATTCTTTTTTTTTTTTTTTTTGTTAAATGGTTAGGAGTTGATGATGCACAAAAATAGTTTTGCACACCACCTGTCAAGTGTAGGTAATAAATACAGTGAAATCAATGAAAAAATTAAAGAAGACACGATTTATAGTGGTTCGGTCAATTCGATCTACGTCCACTCTTCAATGGCTTCAGTTGCCGGGTATTTTATTAATTCAGAGGTATGGAGAATAGAGATACAAGTTTTGAGAAAATGGAGAATCAAAGAAAATGGTCTCCGGTCGTCGGTCTGTCCTCTGTAAGTGTTGGTGGGGCGTGACCTTCATCTTTTTTTTTTGGCTTCTCACAGATTGGGGCTACTTTATAGCAGTTAAGAGATTATTCTTGTGGAGATCATGACTTATCCTCAAGGCTACTTTATCGCAGCTAAGAGATCACTCTGGTGGAGATCATAACTTATCCTCAAGGCTACTTTATCGCACTAAAAGATCATTCTGGTGGAGATCATGACCTATCCTCAACGGAAGGAGGAGGTTGGGGAGCTCTTCATGAAACGTGGTCAAAACTTGGACCGTTTCCTTCGGTGGTGCAGATAAGCTTCTCATGCTCTCCTCTTGATGACGTGCTAAGCAAAAAGTCTAACCGGTCTTAGACTATCTTGGGCTTGGTAGATTGAAAATGAGGTTGGACTCCTCAACTGGAGTTGGACTTTAACACATAAATTGGACTATTTGGGCTTAACCCATCAAGAGTATTTGATTTAATTTACGCGCACCACGACTAATCCCCTTTTCGATATGATCACAGGACTAGAATATTCGTGAAAAATAAATCTTTCATAGCCTGACCTCTAAAGAATTGTCAAAATTTAAACTCATAATATCTGAACTTACAGCTCATTCCCGTTATTATTTAAGTTACCCGTTAAAATCAAGAACAATGTTTTCATCTGGTGAGAACTGAACTAATTGTGTACAAATTCCTGAATTTATATTTGAATTTACAACTAAAATTGAAGACCATTTCAATCACATTTTTTTTTAATTACTTGTAATAATCCACGTGTTTATTACGAGACTCCAACTTTTGATTCTAAGGAGAGATTTTGAATCATACCCATGCCATTTATGAACGTTAATTATTTTGGCAGGACATATTCCCTTACTCCAATGCCCATTTCAGTAAATTCAAGAGAGACTACATGAGTACGGGCTTGACTGGGACAGTCAAAAATGCTAAAGTAAAAGCTAAATTCACACTGTCAGAACAAAATAGCTCCACCATATCAATAACCTAGGGTGAGTATTTCAATAGTTTAACCTTAGCATCTCCAGCTTTGCAAGGGTTGGCAATATTTTTTTTTTGAAAAAACCCCCTACCCAATGTGTAAAATGTATATGGAAAATTTCGAACAATTCGTTGATACTTCATATTAATGTGACAATACTTGAGGTTTTATTGGCCAGCGAAAAATAAAAACGAGTATTGTCACATTAATATGAAGTATCAACGAAATTTTTGATAATGTAAGAAAACATACTTTTGTCATTATCCCCCCATTTATCTATTTTCAAGTGACAGAGAAAGACGGAGTGTCTAAGTCAACGTACACACACCTCAATTAATTCTCTCTTCATTTCAGTCAAAGACATGCCATGCAAGCTGGAACAAGGAAATTCAATAGGAATAAATTCATCATAGCCACCCACGCCACTACATGATAGACTGTTTACTGGAAGTTAAGGGTACAACCCATCAAACCACTTGGTTCCTCCCTACTATAAGTCTCAGCTCTCTCCGTCGCTTGCTCTCTGTGAAAAATCAAAATTCCCGATTTACACTAACAAAATCTCTCCTTTTATTGTTCATTCCCTTTTATTGACGAATAAATGGTTTCACTACTTCAATCCCATCAAATACAAAGATTGCATCATAGTAAGCCATGTACAAAAGCACAGCAGTGACTCTGATAGATAGGCCCAAGATTAAAACAGTAATCAGTCAGAGGCATCCCATTTGATCCAGCCCATCCCCTCCCTTTGTCTATATCACAAATCAATTATTTCACGGGCAGAAGCAGAACAAACCGATCCATCATAAACATAGTAGCGAGCAGCAATGACATCAAGGCTGCATTTGAATAAGCTCATGATTATATGATAGGAGCTTTAACTGTAAGTAGCTAGAGAAAGTATCCTAAAACAATGAGGAAAAAGTCCACCAAAAATTAGGAATCGTCCACGATTCCCCTATTTAAATTCACAAAAATGTGACGAGAATTGAAAAATTAAGCTCTCTAGCCATGTTAGTCTTTAGTGCTGTCTTACACCACTAGTAAGTATGAGGTAGTATTACGTAACCAAAACCCAAAACCATTCAAACACTACTCGTAGTTTCTTCAATCATACGAACATAAAGTCAATAACTAGAAAACATCTTCAGGGCAAAGAGATACCGTTCTTTTTCTTGTTTTCACTTTATCCTCCTTTTTATTCTGACAAATAAAAGAATTGCCCTGCCAACAATCTGCGGCAATTTTTGGCTTTCTCATCTGTAGTGTACGAAGAGGTCCACATAAATAGCTTGAAAAACGGGTTTGTGAAGAGTGCACATACAAATAAACCTAGTAGTTGTCTGCTACATGTGTGTCTTAACAATTACATCCCAGACAGTAAGACTGATGTAGGGTTCATGTTTAGATAAAACAATATACAAGGAAGACCACAATTTAGATATTAATAGTACATAACAAATGATATCTGCTTAAGTAAGTTAGACGTTCTTACAGCACATGCCATATTTGGAAGTTCACTGTAAAAGATAATTGTGATAGACTGAAGGATAGAACCAAAAAACTTACTAGTTAGTATATTTACACGCATTGGCTTCCTGTTATTAACTGGCATCACTGCAGTCGTCATTTTCTCTTTCTCTTGGAATTTTTGTTTGGCTTAACCTTGAGATGAGCATCAGTAGAAGAATCTTGTAACTTGGCCGCTGCAGCAGAACTCCACAGAGCTCTTTCCACATCTGATGGTGTGAACAAATCCCCCTTTGTGCTTAATTCCTACAACCAATTTTGCCACATGTTGCATCCGAAAGCATTGATATAAATAAACCATTGTTTTCGTAGTTTTTTTTTCTTTGGGTGGGGGGAGCTTTGGAGAAGACACCCATGTTGTGAAATCAAACGATGACAATAAAGTGAAATTAATGAAAAGAACGATAAGAATGCAAACCAAATAACACAACACAAAATTTACGTGGTTCGGCAATTTGTCTACGTCCACGAAACTGCACGGATTTCACTATTCTCAAAAATGAATACAGAGAGGGCGGCGGCCATACAAAATCAATCCAAAACCCTAATCACCGAATAACAGTTTATTCAAAATATTTCTCATTAAAAACCACGCAACATTATTTCGGGTCGGGTCATTATCCGGATCAACACACAATTAATAAACAATCAGGGCATTCAAAATGTCGGTATTCACAATTAATCACATTTTTAGTATACAAAATATCCAAGGAGGACCTTAATAGTTCAGTCAAATTATAGCATAGCATGTCACAAGAAAGAGGAGGATTATAAACATCAGAGTCACTCTTATTCACTATTTTACTATCTAAACAGTATGAACTTACTTAAGCAGAGACAAGAAGATTAGCCAACCTTTGCTTTTGCCTGCAACTTATCCACAAACACAACATACTGCTTCAATGTGTAATCTTTCGAATTACCAAGAGCCGCCACCATCGCCTATTTACCAACATCAGAACTAACCCATCATTAACCAACACAAAGAAACCCCAAAACAATAAAATTCTCAAAAATCGACCACAGTATTACCTCGTCCGACATGAACGGCGCAATGTCAGGCGCATAAGCAGCCAGAATGGCAGATGCAGTGGCCGGACCAACTCCTTTCAGTACCGTAAGCTCCGAAACAGCTTTTGATACATCAGGAAGAGATGTAAAAGCCTTCTCCGATGCCGATTTCACTACGTCTTCGTCCAGTGCCGACACAAAATCCAATAATCGAGGCCTAAATCTCACACACAGTAGTTAAGTAACATAATACATATACATATAAATGTGGCATGTGAATGTGTAGAGAGAGAGAGAGAAAGAGAGCTGACCTCCATTTGCCTCGGGTGAGCTTCCATTGCATGAGCTTGGAGATGTCAGTAGTGGTGATGTACGGACTAGGGTTTCGTTCAAGGATGAGAGAAGGAAGTTCATTGCGATAGAAGTCATCGAGGGCGACGAGATTGGGCTTGTTAAGCGCTTCAATTCGACAACTGTAGGAAGCGAGAGACTCTTTCCATAGACTCACATCGGAGCAATTGAAATCCATTTCTGCCAATACGAGTTGTTGATTTTAGGGTTTCTCAGACTGAGAAATGAGAAGAGAGTCAAAGCCCTCTATTTCTTAAGAGGTTTTGAATTGCGAGAGTTACACTTAGATCCCCCTATACTATGTTCGCATTTCACATAGCCCTTTAAATTATTTTCTTTTTCACATTGTATCTTAAAATATTGGTTCTAGTTTTGCATTATCCCAATCGTTGACTTTTGTACAATTTTTTACGGTAAGTTAGGACAAAATGGAAACCAAAAATAGAAAATGTTGCACAACCCAAATAGAACACAAAAATGGTAACTCAAATATTTATCATCCAACAACATTAAGAAATGTGGTCTTTCCATACTAAGCTTGATAAAATCTTATTTTTATCTTGATCTCTACTATTAAAAAAAGATAGAATTCAATGATTGAGTAAAATTCAACTTAATAGTTTAAGGTGCAATATAAATAAATTAGTAATAATCAGATGTAGATGTATGTAGATTAATGTGGTTGTCTGATATTGGAAAATGTGTTGGTTGAATTGTTTGATATTGAGGACAATATAGAGAATTATATTTTTGAGTGGAAAAAAATTAAATGAATTTTGTACCATTAGATTAAAATAGATAAAAATTAGATCAATTTTAAAGATTGTTATGTTTTTATAAACTGAGAATTCAATTTTCTGACTGTAATATTGATAGATAGATAGTTTAAAAGGCAATGTGGAATAACATGTATAGCTTTAAGGGTCTAAGTGTAATTTACTCTTTTGAATTTCTGGGAAGTGTGGATATTGTCTGGCGCCCTTTTCAAGGAATCAATCTGCACATGACCCGCTAGTGTTCGTTGGGGATATGGAAATTTCGGTCTGTTTGGTAGCTTGGACATCTACACTTCGACCTGGGATTAGATTGCGATTATTTTGTTCTGTACCGGCCTAGGATATTCAAACACTAACAAGTCAAGATTTCCTGTTTGACGTGAAAAGTTATTGCATAGATAAGAAATTGATTGACCAACCTCAAAAGAAATGGTACAAGTGATTCCAACGTAATTCCTCCAATACTTAAGTCGGTACGTGTTAAAATATAAAATGCCTTTGAGTTTAATTTAAGATGAATAATATGATTGAAAATGAGATTTTATTTATGTAGTGTTTGTCAAGGATAAAGATTTTTTTACTGGGTTCGTGTAAGTTAGGACTATTATGTAGAAGACACAATAGCCAAAGTCTAGTTTATAGTAGAAGAAAAGTTCTCATTGGTTTAGCTCGTTTCAACATTCAAAAAAAAAAAATTTGTTAGCCCTCTCTCACAAGTTAAACCTTTTGATGGGATGACAATTGAGTACGTATGAGGTTTTGGACCGGCAGAGTCATCGCATTGGACTTTCACTATGTATAATTTGACGTAGCACTGCATGGGCTTGTTTGTATGTAGAATGAGAAGGGTATTAAAAGGTGGGATAACGAAAAATAATACATAGAGCTTATTAATACTTTTTTGTTTTGTATTTTACGTTCAGTACTAATTTGGCTTGGTTCAATTCCCCGACCCGACTCCTATAGTACCATTTAACTCATATATATGGGTATATTGAAGACTACATGGTAGCCGGTATTGTAAACTAGTAATAAGCCCATCGACAGTATATGTTGCCAAATTCACTATGATACCCCTTTGTACACACCACATATGTAAATCATCCTCTTCAGTTCGGTCTAACCCTAATGCTTCTCAATCCAATCTTCGACAACCACCATGGCTCTTATTCGCAGCTCGTTCCAGATCTGAACTATGGTGCTCGGACACAACTTATTCTAGATCTGAACCATGGCTATTGTCCTCATTTCACACCAGATTTGAAAATATCGCTAGTCCCACCAATTATTTGATGTTCCATCGGTTGCTGTATACGTTCATTGGAAGAGCAAGATCGCAACTATTTTATTGTTACAACGTCATCCCCTTTTCATAATCGATACATTCATATGTTTATATTCCATCCCCAAATTGAATATGCCTCCTTGTGTTGTTTTCTCAGTTTGGTTGTGGGTTTGTATGACTCGGTATTCTTCTAAAAGTACTCCTATGTGGGCAATGGCCAAATCTAGATTTCTATGATATTTTATGACTGTGCGTATGCTTGGGCACAGTGAATACTTGTAATCTGTGGTTGAATTACTAGACTTGTTAGGGTAATCTAATAATTATAACTTTTGATATTTTTATATTATCACCACTGAATCTTTCGATTGGAATCACTTCTCAGCTGATTCCCAATTGAGTTCGAAAACTGAATCATTAATAATTACTGTGTAGAATTGAAAAGGTATCTCTGATACTTTGGTATTTCAATTATTGTTTTAAACAATCAATTCTTGTTATGTTGAATAAACTTCTATTCAAACAACTTTCTTTTATTTTTATTTTTGTGCTTCTTGTTTTCACAATTTCCTAAGGATTCGACCTCGGACTTCCGAGCATATATTACGGTATGACAACCTACACTTGAGTGATACATTATTAAAGTTGTAGCAATACTCTACTTATATGAGGCTTGTTAATGTGCCATTGGTGTTGTAGAAGAATAAGCAAGTTAGGGGATGCATGAAAAATGTTGACTACACTACAAAGGTTGGGGAATAATTTTTGGGCAAAGATTGTGCAACTAGAGAATATGCTAAGTATCTTGATGAAATGGTTGGAGGGAATGAAAATAAGGATGCACAAGAAGCATGTGACCCACTCCACAATGACAATGAGAACAATGGAGCATGTAAATAAGTACAATGGTTAAACTAATTTTACATAGGTAAACATGGTCATGTAGACCATGGAAAGTGGCATAATATATTTTTTGATAGAGATCGTGTAGAAATTGGATAGATATTTTTAGATTAATTATGAGAGTTATTTAGATACTTTTAATATTTATCTTTTAAATAATTTCTTTTAATTTTTAAGGGTTTATTTGTAATTTTTTATTTATTTTAGAGTTTTAGTGTTCCTATCTAAAAGGATACATGTAAGACTTTTATTTAGAGTAGACTTTAATTATTATTGAATACTGATATTGTTTTCTTCTCAAATTTTTTCTCTTTTCTTATCCATTTTTTTTTCCTCATCCCTTTCTTCTTCTTTTCTCCTCCCTAATTTTCCTTTCCTAGTCTACATCAATTTCTCCTCCCTAATTTTCCTTTTCTAGTCTACATCAATTTAGTATCGGAGCCCAATTTCGATTCGTGTAAAAAAAAAAAATATTATTCATTGTGCACTATTCATTGTTCATCGTGGCACTATTCTTCGGCAACACTATTCATCACCACCAACATCTCACTGTCCAGTTATATTAAAAAAATAAAATCAAGGTTTGAAGGACTGGGTTTCAAAGTCGCATTCGGCGTTGTATTTCGTTGGTGCCATCATTGTTTGGGTACCATCATCTTCGTCGTTTCCTCCTCATGTTGCTGTTGCTACTTCCTTATTGCTACTGCTGAACTTTAGCACAAGGGATTTACCAAAAAAAAAAAAAAACAAACTACAGGTTTGTGCCAACAGATTTAAAATTTCAGAAACATTCTCAGTAAAATTAGAAAATTTTAGAATCACCCATAGAAGTTCTAGTAAATTGCAGAAATATCATCCAAAAATTTTAAAATTATAGAAATATCCCCAATAGATTCAAAAAATTACAGAATCACCCCTATAAATTTTAAAAAATTACAGAAATATCACCCCCAATGTTTCAAAAATTACAGAATTATTCCCAAAAAGTTTCAGAATTTCATCTCCCATAGAATTTTAGACTAATATTTTTATTCATTGAAAAATTAAAGAATTTTGCAAAAGGTCTAAAACACATTTTCTTTTATTTAAACTTTCTCATTTCTTGAAATTGTCAATTGCATTCTTGAATTTGTTCTTATATCATTCTTACCTTTCAAGAGTCACTCATGAGTTCCTCTCATGCACATGTTTTAAGAGTCTATCATCAAGATCATTATCATAGGAAGTCTAGGGATGTTTACATGGAGTCAACTCATATGACCACACTAGTCAAAGATCCTTCTATATTTAGTGACACTTTAAATCCTTGGATTGATTAGCTAATTTAGAAGAATATTTTGATTAGCATGACATGTCAAATTTTCATTGCGTCCGTTTTGCTAAATTGATGTTGGAGGATTCCACCAAGCAATATTGGAAAACAGTCCAAAGAAGCCTAGATCATTTTGGAGAATCACTTATCACTTGGGTTGAAATGAGATATAAATTGAAAGAGAAGTATTTGTTTACTTCCTACCTAAATCAATTTTATGACCAATGACTCAATCTTAGACAACATTCTTCTAGTGTCTCTAATTACTTTGGCCAGTTCGACTATCTAATGTACTTGTGTGACATTGTTGAAGAACCTTGGACAATTGATCAATTTATTCTTGGATTGAGACCAAAAATTAGTAGGGAGGTCAAGCTATATACTTTTAATACGATAGTTGCAGCCTATCAATATGCTCTAAAGTTGAAAGATTTCATAAGAAAATCCAACTATAGCTTGATGGGTTCTCAATCACAGTCTGCTAAACAGCGTGAAAGGATACTTTTCAATTTTAATTCCACCACATATGAGTATCATGATTACTTGAACGATATCTATGTTGTTTCCGCATGCTTTCCCTAATCTAAATGTAACAAAAGGATTTAGATATGCTAGTATCGGATAAAGAAAAAAATGTTACTCATATTGACTTTCAACTCACTCATTCAATTTCATCGGATTAGAGTCCTTATCCTTTGCACCCACAAGAGTTCATATTGAAAGAAAGTGTGTGAATTTTTGCTTGTGTCAATTCTTGAACCATCATTAAATATGTAAGATATTAAGTCAATCGAGTCATTTATTGCAACATCTACTGGTGACTATTCAGTGTCTACTTGTCCAAGTCATCATGACTTTGTTAAGGATTCATCCCAATTTAAGATTGTTGACTTTGTTCCTTTTCTTACTATTAAGTGTTCACTTGAGTTTGTACTTAA